TTTATTTATTTATTTATTTATTTATTTATTTATTTATTTATTTATTTTAGAAGTTGAACCTAAGTCCCCAGACACACTAGGCAAGCACACCTTTATCAAGTGTTTTACAACAAAACAAATGTACAATATTAAAATGAAAACTAAAATAATATAGAAATTTGACTGTTTACTCAACACAGAACAAGAAAAATGTGAGTTATAATAGGGCTTCTTAGGTATTGAGAAAAAAACAAAAGAAGAAGGAAAGGGAATATAGAAGCAAAAGAAAATGTTAAGAGAGTAAGAAAATAAACAAAAAGTACCCCGGTCATTTGGAAAATACCTTTGTTCAGAAGAAGTACAAAGTCAGATGCCTTTTCCCTGAAAACCCTTTGAGCATCTTCAGGTTTCATTGACATTTCCTTTGTCTGCACTAGGAAAAAGCCTTTAGCAACCATCTGTGGAGAATAAAATTTTATTTAGATTTTAAAATGAACTTCCAGGATGAAAACAAGATTTTGTTATTTCAGCATTTTTTGTATATAATGCAACATAGCATTCTGATTTTTGCTTTAGTTCTGACTAATTCAGACTGCTGTACTTTCTTTACAAGTACTAAATGGAAGCTTAATATTCAATGAAAAATACCATAGTCCATTACAATCAACATAATTTGTTAAATAGTACCTAATGTTAATCTTAAAGGCCATCATATCAATTTTTATAGTTTAATGATAGACCACACTTATGGGGGCATTTACTTTATACATGAAGTTTTCTGAACTTTATACACACACACACACACACACACATATATATATATAGCCTCTCATGAAATGGGTACTACCACCATCTTCCTTGTAGATATGAGACATAAAATATAAGATATAAGACATGACATGGTTAAGAAACTTGTCCAAAGCCAGGCTTAGTGGCGCATGCCTTTAATCCCAGCACTCAGGAGGCAGAGGCAGAGGCAGGCAGAAAATAGCCATGGAACCAAAATAATCAACAAAAAAGAAAAATCAAATTCACATCAAATGGAAAATTCTGGAACCAATCTGCATTTTACACTTCTCAATTAAAGATAGGAATTAACCGTTGAATTCTGTGGCTGCCTACACAGTGCACTGCCTACGGGAATCATCTTTAACTTATTCCAAAATTACGATCTTAAATGAAGAACATGCTTCCAGCCCATACTACAAACTTTTTAGTTGGGAAGGTACAAGGAACTTCCTCACATTTTAAATATGTAATGATCTCATTTTTTTAAAATAAAGTTTTACAATAAAAAATGTGAAAAAAACAACAAAAAATGTGTAGGTATTTTACTATTCGGCATGCTTTGATACTCTCCATATGTAATTTTCATTTTCAATTTCTCTCTTTTGCACTCTCTTCCTTTTTTTGTGTGAACTAATTAGGTCATTGGACTTACTTACAGAGCATAGATGAGGCGTTACTTACAGGAACACTGGTGACCTCTGAAGAAGTTCATTTTTTAATGATCTATTCCGTGTTTTCAGAACTAGACAGTTGTAATCAAAGCACTTCTAGTTTAGAACACCCCCAAGTCAACATGATTTGGGTCACATTCCTACACCTACCATCCATCAGCTTTCAGCAGCAGCACCAGGACAGCACAACAGCTTTATGTTTTAAGGGTTAACACAAAGGAAGACTATCAGCCTGCATGGATGAGTCATAGCTCTGCTGTTTACCAGTTAGCTGAGTGACCTCTGGCAAGCTACTTACCTTGTCTGTGGTTCAAAGGGTTGTTTTGAACACTGCATTAATTCATGTACATCCCTTTGAACAGTGTCTGACATATAGTAAAATTATATATCTAACACTCTGTAAGAGTAAGCTATTATTATTATTAGTGTGGGATTTTTATTTGGAATTCCAGAAGGATATTTAAAGAACCTAACTCTTCTAAGCAATTTTCTTGCAAAGGCCATTTCACCTATCAGATACCAAAGGTCAAAAGGTTCAGAACATTCATGACTCGAATATTGTGCTGATGGTTTTTTTTTTCTGTAAGCATTTGAATATACCTGTATATCCACTCCTGATGATCTACCAGCCAAATTTAATTTAAATGATTAAATTTTGAAAATTATATGTAGTAAGAATCTCCATACAAAAGAAAATTTCCATGTAACATAATGAAGATACTCACTTCTTAGACATTGAATTTACATGTGACTAGATAGTGCAAAGGCTACAAGCATATTTTTCTACATTTTACAAAACATACAGTACCTTTCTTATCATACTGGCATAAAAAAAGAAAAATACCAACATTTCAAGTCAGACACAATGGCTTAAACCATTGGGACACAGAGGCAAAAGGACTGTTGGAAGTTCAAGACAGCCTAGTCTACACTGTAAGTTTCATGCTAGGTAGGGCTACAGAGCGACCCCGAGTCAAAAAAAAAAAAAAAAAAAGAAGAAAAATCACAGTCTTAAAATCATGCTTTAGCTTCTATAGTTTTAAAACCTATACCTCAAATATATTCTGTAGATTTGAGACATGGATTCTCTACATTACAGATGTATATTTTTGTCAACAAAATCATTCCCTTTGGTACGCTTCAACCTTAAACGCAATCTCTTCAGAAAAACGTACTTATCCACTTCTGGAAGCTTGATTTTTAAGTTTAAACAGATTCTATTGGATAAATTCTGATCAGTCTTCCTACTGGTGCGCCTACCAACAAAGGAACTACTTACTGCTCCTGCCTTAACCTCTCCCTCCTCAAATGCTTTTCGTAAGGAAGCAGTTATGCATGACCTCTTCTCTACTTACTGAACTCACTGAAAGCCATCGCCCATAAGTCTTAGACCTATTGCCAGTCCAGTTCCCATCTTATCCATATTATTAATTTATCCCAGCACTGGGGCAAGAGAAAAAAAAGGAGCCTAGTGTTGATTGGGCTGTTGGTGTGCACTTTCACAATAGGCTCTAAAAACTAAATGTCCTTTCCAACCAATTAAAACTCCAAACAAATTTCCTAGGTAAATCATTAGAAAAGGGAAATCATGAAATTTGCAGGCAAATGGTGGGATCTAGAAAAGATCATTCTGAGTGAAATATCCCAGAAGGAGAAAGACAAACACGGTATATACTCACTTATATAGACCTATAAGATATGATAAACATAATGAAATCTATACACCTAAAAAAGATAATCAAGAGAGCGGACATGGGGTAAGATTATCAATCCTCGTTTAGAAAGACAGATGGGATGCACATTGAACATATGACAGGAGTCTACTGAGCACATCTGAAAGACTCTAACTAGCAGTGTTTTCAAAGCAAAGACTCATGACCAAACCTTTGGCAGAGTACAGGGAATCATAAGAAAGAAGGGGAGTTAGTCTGATGAGGAAAGGATAGGAGCTCCACAAGGACCAAATATATCTGGGCACAGGGTCTTTTCTGAGACTGACATGCAACCAAGGACCATGTATGAATGTAACCTAGAACCTCTGCTCAGATGTAGCCTGTGGTAGCTCAGTAACCAATTGGTTTCCCATAGTGAGGGGAACAAGGACTGTTTCTAACAGGAACTCAATGACTGGCTCTTTGGTCTCCCCACCCCCCAAGGGAGGAGCAGTCCTGTTAGGCCACGGAGGAGGGCTTTATCAGGAGTCCTGAAGATACCTGATAAAACAGGATCAGATGAATGGGGAGGAGGTTCTCCCCAATCAGTGGACTTGGCAAGGGGCACGGTGGAGATGAGGGAGGGAGGGACTGGGAGGGAATGAGGGATCGGGACATGGCTGGGATACAGAGTTAATAAAATGTAACTGATAAGAAAAAAATAAAATTAATAAAAAAAATCATTAGAAAAGGCCATACTTCAATTTGCAGTCCTGCTGTAGTGTGTGTATAAATGGTTTGTGATGAAGAATGGAAATTCTTTGAGGCAGAGAATTGTACTTGTATTCCTTCATTTCCAGTATCAATTATGATCTATTATTATTTTTTAATGTTTTAAATTTATTTTTATTATTAACTACAATTTATCCACTTTGTATCCCAACTAGAGCCCCCTCCCCATCTCCTCCCAATCGAACCCTCCCTCCCTCTTCTCCTATGCCCCTCCCCCAGTCCAATGACTGGTTCTCCTTCCCTTCCATCTGACCCTAGTCTATAAAGTCTCATCAGGACTGGCTTGTCTTCTTCTGTGGACTGGTAAGGCTGCTCCTCCCTCAGGTGGAGGTGATCAAAGAGCCAGCCTCTGAGTTCATGTCAGAGACAGTCCCTGTTCCTATTATTGGGGAATCCTCCTGGACACTGATCTGCCATGGGCTACTTCTGTGCAGGGGTTCTAAGTTATCCTGCATGGTCCTTGGTTGGAGTATCAGTCTCAACAAAGACCCCTGTGCGTAGAGTTTTTGACTCTGTTGCTCTCCTTGTGGAGCTTCTGTCCCCTCCAGGTCTTTCTATCTCCCCCTTTTTTCATATGATTCCCTGCAGTCTGCAAAATGTTTGGCTATGAATCTCAGCATATGGTTTGATACCCTGCTGGGTATCGTCTTTCAAAGGTTCTCTGTGTAGCATCTTTCAGAGGTTCTCTGTGATAGGCTCCTGTCCTGTTCCCTGTTATCGCTCTCTTCTGATGTCCATCTCATTTGCCTTTCTGGATGAGGATTGAGCATCTTACCAGTGTCCTCCTTTTTGATTAGCTTCCTTAGGTGTACAGGTTTTCAACAAGGAGGACCCTGGTATACCTGATCTATTATTTTCAAGTTGCAACTAATGACAGGTTATTTAGACAAAGATGTGGGAAAAATAAAAATAAAATAAAATGATGTGAAAAACAAACATACATCGTAAAATAAATGAGATGTGGTAACAGCATAACCTGCTCGTAACTGGTGCTAATGCTTACTGAATTGAACTAGATTAAAAAGTTTTCTTGAGAAAGGATGTTGAGGCCCAAGCAATCTGCTTCTAAGGCAAACCTTGTGGAGGCAGAGAGTTAGGGGACAAACTTAAGGGTTGCCAATATTTCTAATAATTAATTTGAAAACAACAAAATGATGTGGAGGTCAGAGTGAAAGCAGGTGTGAGTGGATGTAACAGACAGAAATATGGCTGCCAAAGTGTTTGAGTCCATCGGAAAGTTCAACCTGGCTTTATCAGTTTTAGGAGGTGTGGTGAACACCTTATATAATGTGGATGCTTGGCACAGAGCTGTCATCTCTGACTGATTCCGTGGAGTACAGAACATTATGGTGGGGGTCATCACCACAATTCTCATCCCTTGGGTACAGAAACTAATTATCTTTGACTGCCGCTCTTGACCATGGAACATACTGGTCATCACTGGGAGCAAAGACTTGCAGAATGTCAACATTACACTGTGTATCCTCTTCTGGCCAGTGGCCATCCAACTTCCTCGCATCTACACCAGCATCTATGAGGACTATGATGAGCGGGTACTGCCATCTATCACCACAGAGATTCTCATGTTGGTGGTGGCTCAATTCAATGCTAGAGAATTGATTACCCAGTGAAAGCTGATCTCCAGGCAGGTGAGCAATGACCTCACAGAGAGAACAGCCACAGTTGGGCTCATCCTGGATGACCTTCAGCAAGGAGTTCACAGAAGCAGTGGAAGCCAAATAGGTAGTTCAGCAGGAAGTGGAGAGGGTCAGATTTGTGTTGGAAAAGGCTGAGCAGCAGCAGAAGGCAGCCATGATCTCTGCTGAGGGCGACCCCAAGGCAGCTGTGCTGATTGCCAACTCACTGGCCACAGCAGGTGATGGCCCAATTGAGCTGCACAGGCTGGAAGCTGGAGGACATTGCTTACCAGCTCTCCCACTCTCGAAACATCACCTACCTGCCAGTGGGGCAGTCCATGCTCTTCCAGCTTTCGCAGTGAGGCCTCCCTGCTTCACAACCAGGCTAACCAGGCCATGGCCTAGATTGTTCTGCCCCACCCCAGAAATCACTGTGAAATTTCACGAATGGCTTAAAGTGAGGGAAATGAAAGTAAAATCACTTCAGATCTCTAATTATAAGAAAGAAAGAAAGAAAGAAAGAAAGAAAGAAAGAAAGAAAGAAAGAAAGAAAGAAAGACAAAAATTCTCCAAAGTAGCATGGTCCTATCTATGTCTATTTCTTTCCTCTTTCTCCTTACCTCATCAATTAGTTTCCTTGCATTTGCAGTTGTATAATCATCAGCAAATAACACCACAAGACATGACTCATCACTGTTCTTCTGTCTTTGGCCCCAGGATATGGGAACAATGCTTCTATTGGCTTCTGTGGAAATTCGTACAGCTTTGAATTCTTCCGTAGATGGAATAGGAACATAGTCTTGAACCATGGCATTTTCTGGAAGAATGCTCCAGTTGAGCTCTCCTGACACAGGTGTAAAATCATGAACATGACTCCATATGTTATTGAAGATACTAAGCCCTGCATCTTTGAATTGGGCTGCTAATTCAGGGTAGTACCACTGAAAACAGCCAACCTTAATGTTTGTAGAAGATTCAATAATGGGTTGAGTGGCACAGCACAGAAAGACTTCCAACTTTCTACAGTCCCTCACACGAAATTGTTGGCAAGCCAACATGCACTTGCAATCTCTACAATTTCGGAAAAACACGCTGCCTTTCACTGGTCCCAAAAATATTACACAGTTAGTGCAGTCATCAATGGTAATAGTAGCTGAGTGATCAAAAATATAAATGTTACAGTTCTCACAGTCTTGAATGACAAATTGTTGCCCTGCTACTTTTCCAGGTAAGCAACCTACTGTTTCATCCTTCAGTCCGCTGAACATGTAATCTTTTGGGTCAACCTGCAGAGACAAAGCACATCATTTGATAACATTATTCACCAAAATGAAGTAAGTGCCTATGGGATGCCAGGCCTAGCTGTTAATGGTAAAACTTAAGTTCCCCAGTCTCACTGACTCTGCAGTAAATTAGAAAATGAATAGGAGACTTTTATTTGTTTGTTTTCAGTAAATAAAAAGAATAAGGGAAGAAAGGGAAAAGGAAACCAGAGCTCAAGGACACATTCACCAAGTGCTATGTGTACACACTGCTTGGATCCTGTTTCAAACATTTTAACTGTAAATATGCTTTTTTTTTTGAGGCAACTAGGGATATTCACACACATACACAAAGCCTGTTATATAACCTTAAGTGCATTTTGCCTTTTTGCTACATGTGATAACAGCACTATGGTTACAAGAGGGGTGAACTTACCAATTTTAAATAATATAAAGTTTATAACTTTGGTTAATATATATCTACGTCCCAGGAAATGGAACCACTCTTTCTGCTAAAAATTTCATTCCTGGGTATGCAAACCTAAAAGGAAGGTTTTGTGAGAGTATGATTTGGGTCTTCCTGTGAGTTAACCCAAGTGATATATGATCATTGCTACTATCAACAGTCTTTCAGACTATTTGTAATATGTATAGCCACAAAAATAATATGGAGGGCAAGGGTCAAGGACATGTTTTTAAAAACAATTATTCTAACGGAAGCAAGATCTGTAAGCCAGGCATAGTGTTCACACTTGTAATCCCAGCACTCAGGAAGCTGAGGAAGGAAGATAACTAGGCAGGAGTTCAAGTCCAGTCAGGGCTACAGAGCAAGAGTCTGTTTCAAAACAACTATAAAAAACATGGCTAGGAAATTGAAGCTTGTATCTTCTGCATCTATCCTAACCAGAACATATTATTTCAAGCTAGAATGTAGCACAATATTAAAATGTATGTGTAGAATGTACACAGCCTTGGATCCATCCCTGTTAATGAAAATTAAACATTAAAAATATGCATACATACTATTTCAGGTTTCTCTTGATTTGCTTTTCCTGGTGCTTCAATTTTAAAACTTCCATTTCCTTTAAAAAAATCTTAAATTGAATATATTTCTTTATCCTACTACAAAATGATATTTGGGTCTAAAATTCCAAATCCTAACTGAGATTTCCATACACCAGGTTATGCCTAAATCTCATGGACCCTAAAGACCACCAAGGAGCAGATTCTGATGCAGATGCAGTAGAGCCTTTATTACAAGCTCGAGCTTGGGCCCACACTATCACTGATGAAGCAGTTCTCAAGTATAGAGTCCTGGTCTCAGGGAGAGAGGGCTTTTTATGGGTGTTACAGCAAAGTCCGGGAAATTACAGCTTGGCAGATCTATGATTGATTGACATTTAGCAAATATCAGGTGTCCAGAGGGCCAAATCATAATTGTTTGTCTGGAGGAAACTGCCTGGAGGAACATATCATAATTGTTTTACTCAACCTATTATAAAGAATATCTCCATCCCTGATCTCAAGCTGTACTATAGAGCAACAATACTAAAAACTGCATGGTACTGGCATAGAAACAGACTGGTGGATCAATGGAATCAAATAGAAGACCATCACATAAATCTACACACTTATGGACACCTGATAGTTTACAAAGATGCCAAAACCCTTCAATGGAAGAAAGACAGCATCTTCAACAAATGGTGCTGGTCTAACTAGATGTCTACATGTAGAAAAATGCAAATTGATTCATACTTATCACCCTGCACAAAACTAAAGTCCAAATGGATCAAAGACCTCAACATAAAACCAGACACATTAAATCAGTTAGAAGAAAAAGTAGGGAAGAACCTAGAACTCATTGGCACAGGAGACTACTTCCTGAACAGAACACCAACAGCACAGGCTCTAAGAGCAACAATAAATAAATGCGACCTCATGAAACTGAAAAGCTTCTGTAAAGCAAAGGACACTGTCGTCAGAACAAAACAACTGCCCACAGATTTGGAAAGGCTCTTCACCAACCCTATATCTGACAGAAGACTAATATCCAGTATATATAAAGAACTCAAGAAGTTAAATAGCAACAAATCAAGTAAGACAATAAAAAAATGGAGTACAGAACTAAACAGAGAATTCTCAATAGAGGAATATCGAATGACAGAGAAACACTTAAAGAACTCTTCAACTTCCTTAGTCATGAGGGAAATGCAAATCAAAACGACCCTAAGATTTCACCTTACACCCATCAGAATGGCTAAGAACAAAAACTTAAGTTACAACACATGCTGGAGAGGTTGTGGAGAAAGGGGAACCCTCCTCCACTGCTGGTGGGAATGTAAACTTGTACAACCACTCTGGAAAGCAATCTGGCGCTTCCTCAGACAAGTAGGAATAGTGATTCCTCAAGATCCACCTATACCACTCCTAGGCATATACCCAAAAGAGGCTCAAGTACACAATAAAGACCTTTGCTCAACCATGTTTGTAGCAGCCTTATTTGTAATAGCCAGAAGCTGGAAACAGCCCAGAAGCCCCCCAGTGGAGGAATAGATACAGAAATTGTTGTACATCGTACACAATGGAATATTACTCAGCAATAAAAAACAAGGAAATCATGAAATTTGCAGGTAAATGGTGGGATCTGGAAAAGATCATCCTGAGTGAGCTATCCCAGAAGCAGAAAGATGCACACGGTATATACTCACTCATATAGACATATAATATAGGATAAACCTACTAAAATCTGTACACCTAAAGAAACTAATCAAGAAGGAGGACTCTTGCTAAAATGCTCAATCCCTATCCAGAAAGGCAAAGAGGCTGGACATCAGAAGAAGGAGAAAAGAGGGAACAAGTCAGAAGCCTGACACGGAGGACCTCTGAAAAGCTCTGCCCTGCAGACTATCAATGTAGATGCTGAGACTTATGGGCAACCTTTGGGTAGAGTGCAGGGAATCTTAGGAAAGAAGTGGGAAACAGTAAGATCTGGAGAGGACAGGAACTCCACAAGGAGAGCAACAGAACCAAAAAATCTGAGCACAGGGGTCTTTGCTGAGACTCATACTCCAACCAAGGACCACTCATGGAGATAACCTATGACCCCTGCACAGATGTAGCCCATGGCAGTTCAGCGTCCAAGTGGGTTCCATAGTAATGGGAACAGGGACTGTCTCTGACATGAACTGATTGGCCTGTTCTTTAATTACCTCCCCCTGAGGGGGAAGCAGCATTACCAGGCCACAGAAGAAGACACTGCAGCCACTCCTGATGAGACCTAATTGTCTAGGATCAGAAGGAAGGAAAAGAAGTCCTCCCCTATCAGTGAACTTGGGGAGGGGCATGCATGCAGAGGGTGGAGGAAGGGAGGGACTGGGATAGGAGGAAGGAGGGAGCCACAGGGGGGATACAAAGTGAATAAAGTGTAATTAATAAAGAATTAAAAATAAATAAATAAATAATGAAAATTTAAAAAACAAAACAAAAGAATACCTGGGTAAACTCCAGATATTCACTGATTAGCCTTTGCTAGGGATGATGTTCAAAGCACATTTTTGTGGGTGTTTCTCCCTTTTGAAACTGGAGTTCATGCCCAGGTCATTTACTCTTAAGACAGAGTTCTTTTTCAGAAATGGGGTTACACAGGTCCCACAATCACATATAATGGAAGAACCTAGACACAAAAGCCCTGATATGTTGGTCATTACATTTACAAATTTTAATCAGATATTGACTGGGCTATTCATCCAATGTTATTTTTCAAAATTTGCCATTATATTAGATATTATAAACTATGCCTCACACAATCTTTTAAATAGTAATGTCTATAACACATAACTTTAAAAAAATTTTAACTGCTATCAAAATATAGTCAGAGGCTAGAAAATGTAACTCAGTGATGGACTGTGTTCAGAGTCTGATCTTCAGCACATATCCTCAACACACACACACATACACACTCTCTCTCTCTCTCTCTCTCTCACACACACACACACACACATACACACATACTCTCTCACACACATAGATATACATACACACATACTCACACCCACACACCCACACATACACAGAGTTAATAAAAGGCTAGTCTGACATTTAAAAAAGATGAAATGTATTACCTTTTAATCTATTTGAAACTATTTTAACTGTATAGAGATAAACATTTACGTGCAAACCTATACACTAGAAACAAATTCCTATACATAAACCACGTTTGTTTATTTACAAAGTGACACATAAGCATGATAATCATTATTAAACTAGTTAAAAGTGACTTCCATTATACATATTGTATTTATCCAGTTTTACATAATGTCCTAGGATGAGCATTGGTCTACAGAATAAGGCAATAAGAGGTACTTATTTTCTAGCCTCGATTTTGTCACCTATGACAAAGGAGCCACGTGATCTTGAAAAAGCGATTTTAGCTTTCTGGATCTTCAATCACTCAACCAACATCTGAATACCCAAAATGAACCAGACACTATTTTAGGCAGTAAAAGGGAAATAATATAGACCTAAATAGAATATTTAAACAACCTACCATGTAGTGAAAGGTGCTGTAGAAATACAGAGGAGGGACACACAGAGGACAACACAAGACTTACTGTACAAAGTGAGGACAAATAAGCTCACTGGAAAGATTGGGAAAGAAAGACCACACCCGATAAAGGTAATATATTGAACAAGGTAAAATTCTTCAGTTATTAGAAAGAAAATGGAAAGGGGCCTGAAAAGATGCCACAGAGTCAAACCTGCTTAGGCATACACAAAGGGGAGAGTCATAAAAATCAGTATTTGCCAGTGTTATAAGGTATTAAGTTTAGGGGTGGTTTAGTTCATATCAATGGATAACTAAATTACCTCACATACTTAGAATATTATGAAAATAGCATCTAGCTTCCTACCCACTACAGATATTTCTTTCTAATAGGTCACCCATCCAACCTCAGCCGGTTCTAACATAGACGTTGTTTCCCTACAGAGTCAGCCTTTCTACTGATAAACAATTCTGGGAACTA